TACGCTAATCATTTTAGAAAAAAAAAATCTTTTGAATTTCATTAAGAAATGACGATTTCATAGTCAAAATACTGTAAAATGACATTTTTCTGATAAATAAATATTAAAAGTCGATTGTCAAACCTCAAAAAGGCTATATTCTGGAGAAATATGATATTTCGAAAAGAAATAGATCATTCTCAAGTGAAAACAACAATGAAGCTTACGGAGATCTTTTTTCATAATTGCATCACGTTTATCACTGGCGTTCTCCGCAACAAATGCAGTAAGCCAGACCTTGAATTTTTGATCAGCTGCAGTATTTGTCAAATGATTGATTTCTTCAGCTGGTTTTCCTTCTTCTTGTGCCATGACAACAGCCTCACATGCATCGCCGTATCGTTTCTCATTTTTTTTTCTCCATTTGTTCTAATTTTTCAAGCTAAATTAGAAAAAAAACTAAAAATTTTAGTGTAAAAACCAATTTTTAACATACATTATTTTCAGCATCACTAATTTCATTGACAAATGTATTATCAGACATACCTAATGATGATAAACGATCTAAAATGAAATTCCAAATTTTAATTAAGACAATCGAGGATCTGGATCAGCCCAGATAGCGACAGAAGAAAAAAAAGAAAGAAAGAAACATATATAGACAAGACATTGAAAGTCCTAGAGCATCGAATGCGTCACACATATATTCGAAGAAATAAAGAAAAAATCACAAGACAATCGTATTTACAACCGTAGGTGATTCACGATATGGAGAAAGAAAAAAATACAAACAAGGAACGGATAAACATATAAGCATATGCATAGAAGGAGAATTCTTGAAGAATGTTATCGAGAACGAAAAATAGAAACAAGCTATCGAATTCTTAAAGAAACGGACATGGAAAAATAATAATGAAAACGAAAGATATCAATCAGCCATAAGAACCACAACAGTTGTATTTGTTGTATATTCTTCATATTTCTGCTGTTGTTGATGAAGATTGTTTGTAATACGAACATGAAGATCTGTAAATATTTGTTCAATATATTGCTTTAATATCATATCTCGACTATCTGAACTTTGTCAAATCTTGAGAAAAAATAAAATATTTCAGTAAAATTCCTTTACTGTTTAATAAAGATTTTTTAGACGTTTATGTAGATCATCAATAAGATGATGATACGATGATCGTTTATGATTCAATCATTAAAAAATAAATATAAGAAATAGTTTCTTTTACTTTTCATTTGATTTCACTCTGATTGTGAATCCGATGGAAGGAATCACATCACCTCTGTCGCCAAATTTGAAACTTGACAAAGGAATTTTTCAATTGAATTCAAGTCTTAATATGCACACTACTGTTTGATTGAACGATCGAGATATGCACTGTTTGTCTCAAAGGTCACCGCCTTGAGTAGGTTTAAGTGCCTGCAGTTTTTTCGGAAAAAACTGGATGACTACATACCTTATCTTATTAATTTTTATACTTTGTGAGGGTCATTATGTTTAGGAGAAATAGTAGCATTATTAAAAAGTTAAAAAAAGATGTATTGCAGTTCTACCGTCTATGTTGTTACACGCTATGTAGAATGAAGAAGATACAGCACATAAGAGGTCAGCAGTGCTGAGTGCTGGATGACACAGCTGCTTGGAATTAATATAGGAGTGCTTGTAGTATTGATACTGATTTAGTAAGCAGTCAGAAACTGGTAGTTATGTGTACTAGGCTGCTGAATTTTTAGTCGAGTGATTAAAAAGTAAGTTTTCACTTATTAAGATTGTTTGAGTATTTTCAAAAATAAATCTTCAAATTTTATAGTATCCTATCAAGCTTGATTGCATTTGTTCGACATATTTCAAATGAACTAGAAAACGAAAATTACTTATTTGCTTATGAAACGCTACATGATCATAAAAACTAACACCACTCTATAATTCTACTTTCCGATTTTAGAATATCTGGTTTTTGGCGTCACATAACTCGCCAATGATAATATATTTTCCGATGAGTACCTGTAACAGCTCTAGTGGTCCTTCACCGAGCATCGGAACTATTCCTCTTCGAACATAAACAAAACGATCAATGCAACAGCTTATCATATAATGAAAAAATACTTTCAAAAACCAATCAACCGTTACATCATTACATGACCGTTTTTCTTATGTTCTGTCGTTCAATTCTAACATATACAATGATTAACCCATAGTCTCAAACAATCGTTAAACAAATATATAATGTAATTCTAAATACACAACAATAAATGAATGCAATTTACTCAAACAAATCACATGATACATGTTCCCTTACGGACACATATTCTACTACAAATAAGCC